CTCGCCCCCACCCCTCCGTCCTCCCTCCCCCGCCGCCGCCGGCCAGCGCCCCCGGATCTGGCCGGGTGGCTCGGCAGCGGCGGGCCTTCTTTTCCCCCGCGCGCAGCGCCCTTCCCGGGGCAGGGCTCGGCGGCGGGTGCAGCTCGGCTGGCGGTGGTCCGGCGTCCTGGTGGCGGGGGCCGGCGGCTGGCGCGGTGGTGGCGCTGCCTCTTGGCGGCGGGGTGCCCTGGTGGTGCTGGTGGCCGGCGACGCGCCCCCGGCCCAGATCTGGGCCCTTAGGGCCCCATCTGGGTCCTAGCGGGCCGGCGCCGGCGTGGCCTTGCTGTCTACGGCTCGGTGTGGAGGAGGAGCGGCTCGGATGTGGGCGGCGGCGCCGATGGCGTGTCGGCAGCAGCGCGAGGGCGGGAGCTTTACGGGCCCACGAGGGCTCGGCCGGGCCTGTGGGCCTACGGGCCTGGTGTGCTCCTACTATTGCGTCCGGACGGCTACCGTCGCTGACGGCGGAGGTGGGGCCCTCCCGCGTGCCGACGGTGCTGCTGCCCTAGTCCCGGCTCTGATTCTTCGCCTTGTTGTCCTCACTTCGCGGTGTCGTGGTGAGACGGCGTGGGGGCCTCTTGACCGTGTTGGCGCTGGGTGCTGGTTGGTTTGGTGGCTGGCTCCGGAGCGCCCGAGGTGTGGGTTGGGATCGGGGGAAACCCCTGTCGGCTTGGCCGACACCGGCGCGGTGGCGCCTGTGGGTGCCACCTGACCTTCCGGGAGGGCGTCGGGGGCTACCCTTCCTCTCGCCTCGTCGTGTACCAGGGGAAACCCTTGGCAGCAGCGTCGTCATCGTCGCGATCCTTCTTGGAGGTGGTGATAGGTGCCGGCGCTTCGGAGTCTTGGAGCCTAGTGGAAGATCCCGGTGGGCGCAGCGTTCGCGAGGCTTCTTCGTTTTCGTTGATCCGCCGTTGTCGGCATTTGTTTCTTTTGCTCTTTCTCTGTCGTTTCTTTTGGGCGTGACTGTGCTGCTTCCGCCCCAGCACCTATCCTTGTACGGCTTGGTTGGTTGCTTTGTATACAAAGCGGGGGGAAACCCTTTTTCGGTACAGCACTGGGAACGTCACGGACTTTGGTCCGGCATATCTTCCTACCCTTTGTTTCCAGCAATACGTAGCTCAAGCTGCAACCTACCATAAAGCAATATATAGTTTAGGCAAAACATTCCACAGGATACTGTAGCACATACAACATATTCCATAGAACAAGCCAAAGAAACGAACACCATTCACCAGATACGATAGAAGTGTTAAGTTCAAATTAAGAAAAACCTGGATACATATGTTGACATTGTTGGATAGATGCACATTTTGAACCATAACATCTACTCCTATGGATTTGCAGAATGTCACCCTCTTAATTTTGCAATCAGCATAAACTAATGCATTCTACATTTCCCTTTTTCAGGAAACTTTAAAAGATTGCACGTTAGGAAGAGAAATTTGGTGCTTGGCAATTAGCATGCATAGGTTAATGGAGGTTAACCTTTCGGATGTACCAGACACTATGCAATGGAAGCTTTCCAGCTCAGGTGTCTTCTCGGTTAAATCCATGTACACGGATTTGATTAATACCGGGACTATCCCGAGGACGGTTCATATTTGGAAAGTTAAGGTCCTTGAAGATAAAAGTTTTTATGTGGTTTGTGCATAAGGGTGTCATTCTTACTAAAGATAACTTAGTTAAGCGTAAGTGGGAAGGAAGTAAAAGATGTTGCTTTTGTGATGAGGATGAAACAATAGAACATCTATTTATCAATTGTCCACTTGCTAAACTGCTTTGGAGAACTATTCATGCTAGAACATAACTCCACCTCTCACGATATCACATTTGTTTGATAACTGGTTGGCTGGAGTGGAGCCAAAGTCCGCGGCACATATCCGAGTGGGAGCATGTGCATTACTTTGGTCTTTATGGAATTGCCGCAATGACGTTGCCTTTAACAGACAAACTATTACCAACTTTTTGCAGGTCATCTTCAGAGCGTCTACTTGGATCCGTACGTGGTCATTATTCAGTCGTGCGGACCACAGGGAGCATATGGATATTGGGTGCAGCCGATGGGAGATGGTTGCACGGGATACTTACAACCGGTTTGGATGGCGGTCCAATAATAGGATAGACGTTTAGTCTCCTAGTCTTTCTGGTGCCGGTTGTGATTTTTATTTTTGGCCGCTTGTGGCTTTTCTTTGCTTAGCATGACCTTTGTTTATTTTGAGACCTCTGTTTGGAACCTTTGAGATACTTTTTTTAATAAATGGCTGTGTGCATCAAGAGATGCAGAGGCCAGGGGTATTCCTCCTTTTCGAAAAAAAACATGAGCATTTAGGCCCTCTACAGACCAAAGCTATTGAAATTTAGAAGTATAAAACTAAGTCTGTGAATATGCACTTACTTGAGGTGTTTAGACTATCAAAATTAAGGTGGGACTTTGCAATACACTAAATTTCAGTAGTGCATTGGTGGGTGAGATCAACAAAATAGACTGTCTATTGGACTATAATAACAGTACCCAACATTGATATCATACCTTGTTTGCGGTGTGGTGGCCCATTCGAACCAATTGCTTTATCCCCGTGTCTGTTTTTTTTCGATTCCTAGAAACAGCAGAATCCATCAAAAGGGAGTAAAATTATTTTCGAGGTGCGGGACAATGCACATACTCACAAAACAAATCAGGACTATTACACAATGTTGCAGAACCATCGTAGGCATCCTGACCTAAAGGCCTCAAACAAGGACA